AAATTAAGTTGGTCAGCCAAAACATTAAAAATAATTTCTTTGTACTTTTGTCAGTTAAATAAAAGTTAAAAATTGAACAATCACAGATTCTTATTTGCATAGCGTTTTACAAAATGTCCCAATTTTTTTGTGGGTTTGTATTGTCAGCACACTTTCCATCTTACTGTCATTGTTAAAAATGCCCTTAACAACTGTGTGGGGGCCCCTTTTAAGGACTGTAATAACTGTTACAGTACTAGGATCTGTTATGTTGACGCTTGTGCTTTTTATTAGCCAATTAAAAGTCCTCAGAGGCATATTATGTGTAGCTAAGCCCTGAGTGTGGTGTGGTTGCTTAGTCCTTCAAGTTGCTGGTTTTGTTCTGAGTATGTGTAAATGAAATCAATATATTTTTTTTCTCATGCAGTTCCATTCTGAATCGTTTAGTAAGTGCTGTTACAGTCCAAACTACAGATAAATCAAGAATGATACAGGAGGTAATTAATGCTATAATTCACATTGTTTGTTTTAGACAGACATTATAAACCTTTAAAACTAGAAAGATTTACAGTAACTATCTTTTAGCTGCCATGTGGTTAATAGTTTGAATGCTATGTTCATGGTGATGTCATGATTGTTAAAGTTCAACTGTCAAAATAAAAAGATTGAAAGTTGAGGTTTTATTGTTCTGGCCAAAGTTTTACATTGTGTATTGGTTACAATAGTGTATTGGTTGTTGTGTATTTATGTAAAATTAAAGTACACCATTCTTTTATCTGCTGAAGTAAAAGGTAATTGTGCGAAATGTTCACATAATTGAGTATATTGACTCAGTATAAAAACTGGAATATAACATAATGACCACAAAATTATGGTATATAATTTTTTAATAATGCCAAATTTCTGTGAATTTAATGAATGATAAAAATGTTAACCATTGACTTTAATATTGGGGTAATTACATGTAATTTTGCATTGTATTTCTGTATTTAACCAGTAGAATCCAGTGATGTAACAGCGGTATCTTGTGGATAAACAGTACATTGTAATAGTTGGTAGGCAGATCAACCAACATTTAACTGTTACCCCCTGTAAGTTTGTAGGATACAAACATTTATTGACAGATTATGTCTGTTAAAAAATGTTTAATAGGATTGAAAAGACAGTAAAGTGACCGTTAATTTAAATAACGTTTCTTTATTTTACTTTAACAATCTGTACTTTGACAGATGCATGTTGTAGATTGATTAGACTAATTACACTGTTATTTAAAAATAGCAACCCTCAAATTACAGACTTTAACTGTATTTATGCAGTATTTCTGTGTTTTTAATACATACTAGAGATGTTTTTTCTACTAAACTTTGGTTGTAAAATTACACAGAATATTTACATGGAAAAGCTGTAATTTACAGTAATCCTCTGTACAGTATTTTACTGTAAAATTACAGGAACTGTTTGGCAACTTTTGCTGCCAGACATCTTACCGTTTTTTAACGATACAGTGTGTTTTTTGAGCCTGTCTGCCTCTTATTTTGGTACTGTCATCAATGACTTTCTGCATTTGCATCCAGTCTCTTTTTTCAAACCTGACATTTGTGAATACTTAAGAACTCTTTGTCTGAAATTATAGGATAAAATGTTTTTTGTAGTCAGCTAACAGTGTATCATATTTAGGTAAATAGTCTTCTCCCTCTTTCCTTACATTTCCTGGGCCACTGGCTGCTTCGCAATCTCAGAGCATAATGGATCCGCCCTCATACTTAACTGTTAGCAACTTTTTTATTATTTAATTGCTTCTCCTTTTTCTCTTCAAACATATCTTTGGTGACTGTGGCAAGGAATTGAAGTGTTGTTTTGTCAGACCACAGCAGTTGATGATGTTTTGCATACTTCAGATAATGACTTGTTGAAATTGCAGAAATGTGTCATATTTAAGTTTGTTCAGTGCAAAGCTGGTCTTAACTTTTTTCACTTATAAAGTCAACAAAATGTATAATTTGACTGGGGTGACTAAACCTTCACATACAACTGCACTGAGGTGAGGAATTAAAAGGGAAGTGAATTCAGAAGAATTTATTTGTTGACTTCTTAATAAGATTTTGTTGTTTGGTTGGCTGGGTAGTCAGCAAGAAAGCACACAAATAAGCTAAGTGTGTAAGGGACACTGGACTGCACGTTTATGTTCAGACAAAAATAAAGGACCAAAGCAGTAGACTCAGTGTCATTGTTCAACAGAGATTTTGGATCACTTTTTTTCTGACAAATGAGCTATTTTGCTGAGCTTTGTGGGGGCACAGACTTAGACATTGGGTAGAAATCTTCTGAGCCCACAGAAACCAGGGGAAAAGTAATTCAGCCAGTTGGTGAGTTGCTGCCTGTTGCTAACTTGTGGCTACAAATCACATACTATGGACAGAATTGTCCCCTGTGGTGGTGATAGGAACCAGACGTGTGAATTGTTGAATGCCTCTAAAAGCTATATAACAGAAATGACATGAAATGGTTGGTCACTGTGGTGAGGACTTAAAATGAAAGTGAATTCAGGAGAATTTATTTGTGGACTTTTGCAAGAAGATTTTGTTGTTTCGTTGGCTAGGTAGTCAGCGAGAAAGCACACAAATAAGCCAAGTGTGTAAAGGGACACTGGCCTTTTTTGTTTGACTTTTTTTGCATGTTTATGTTCGGCCAGAAAATAAAGGACTAAAGCAGTAGACTCAGTGTGATTGCTCAACAAGAGTATTGTAAGATTTTGGATCACTTTTTTCTGGCAAATGAGCTATTTTGTTCAGCTCCAGAACTAAGAAAATGATGAGTGTTACATTAATGCTAACTTACATGATTGACATGTAAGTTAGTATTAAAGAAAGTTCTGGCTGAAGCCAGGGACAGAGAAATGGCTGAAGCCAGCAGGTGGAGCTGTGTACAAGGTGGACACAGCAACAAAAAGTATAATAAGAACATGGACATGGTACTGATGTGGGGGAAAGAAACATGTAGCAAAAGACTATTTGCAGTGGCATAACTGTGCCTAGGTGGGAAACATTAAGTAACATCTCAGGGAGGAAAACAAGAAAAGTGTAATTATATGCAAGACAAAGAAAAGACAGGAAGCTTTCACAATGTACATTTTAGCTGATTCAGTGCAGAGTGGACCCCCACTCACACAGTGCTAGACAGTGAATGGTAGTCCAGTAAAATAAGAGACTAACAGGTGCTGCAGTGTAACAATACTATCAAAGGCACAGTATGCAAACTTATAACACCAAGTCATTTGTTCGAGTGATAACCCAATGCAGTGTTTTACAGTGTTTTTGCAGTGTATAAGTATGATTATAATGACATTTCTTGCATCCTGGTTTGATGTTAGTGAAGTATTCAAATGTTTATTCTGATTGAGTGCCCAGATTGAAAGAGTTCAACCTTTCACACACAACTTCATTTGCATTTTATAGATATTTAGTTGAATGTTTTTCTCTGCCTTTACAAGCACAACATGCAGTGCCGGTTCTATCAGCCAACTATGCAAGTCTAGTCCCAGGGGGTCATTTAGTCAAGCAGTGCCACACTAACCAATCTTTATGCCCCCTTATGCTTTTACACATGCTTTTATACTGGCATGAGGCAAATAAAGTGACAGTAAACTTGGTGCACCCTGCTAGCCATGCTCATCCTATATGAAAGACTACATCAATTAACATAGGGAGGCTTGCATGCATCACTTTGTATTAGTTGCTCTGGTTGTTAAATGTGAACATGTTCACTGTCGAGCTTCTAACAAGAAAATTACTGATTTGTTTTCCAATTGTATACGTTTCCCTTCATTATTTTGAGTGATGCTGTTGGGAATAGGAACAAAATACTGGTAGGAACAAAAAGTTCCGAGAGCAGAAGCTGCGGCCCTCAGATCCCCATGTCAACTGGTTGAGCCAACTGGTTAGATTGTAGCTTCATGCATTACAGGTAATTTGCATAAAGTTGAGAAAACTTCAACTCTATTTGTCACTTGTTGCTCGTGCTGCCTGTTGCTAACTTGTGGCTACAAATCACTTACTATGGACAGAATTGTCCACTGTGGTGGTGATAGGAACCAGACGTGTGAATTGTTTAATGCCTCTAAAAGCTATATAACAGAAATGACATGAAATGGTGAATTTGCTGCCTGATAGTTTTACAATTCAGTGTTTATAATAGCTTTTCAACAAAGTTTATACTCTGTACTAAACCAGACTTTCTGTCAGCAACTGATCAAAACTGAATCCTGTCTTTGAACATGTAGAACACGAGAGGTGTTATAATTAGAAAAAAAAATGTGTTCATTCAAAACTGAATAAAAATCTAGCTTTTATTACACTGCATTAATTGTGTTAATTAAATGATAAAAATAAACAGACATAATTCATCAATGATAGATATAAAATACTGTAAATTAGAAAGGGAAAAACTAAAAAGAAAGGCTACAATAAAATAAGAATTTATATAAAACGTATTACTTACTCATGTACATTTAAAAAAAAATAATGTAGGTTACATGAACATAAAATACATTAAATGTTGCATTAAGTCTCAAGACCATACAAAAACATTTCATCACACAAAAACAAATTAAGGAATTGTCAAGCTGAGAAGTAGCATATAGTATTTATACAGCCACACATTTGTCTTTAAACTGACACTGTGCTGGTGTGTTTTAACTTATGCTGATACATTTTTGTACATTTCTGTACTCATACAAGATATACAGTAACAAAAGACAGCACTTAGTGAATTACAAATGCTCTAATTCAGCCAAACTCCAGAGCATCATTACAGTCTCACTATCTGTACCAAGCAAAGAGTTCAAAATATCTGACTATTCTTAAACACAAACACTGGCTCAGTCCAGTTACAATCAACAAATGAGCAAATAAGATATTTCACTTCAAAACAATATTTACACAAATACATAAAAAATAACAGTTTAGCAGCGTAAAACACTCAAAAATATATACATTTTGCTAAAATCTTCACTTTTTGGATTATGTTCAGTTAAAAATATTAACTAGATGTATAATAGAAGATATAAACTGGATTAAGATTAATTTGAGCAGTCTAATTATGTTCACATTCTTCCCTCTTCTGTCTACAATCTTCAAGCTTCAATCAGGAATCACTAAAATGATTAGTTTTGGGAATCGCAGAAAACAAAGGCTTTCCAACAACAGCAGTGCTCTCTCTAATAAACACATTTACCATTCTCACTGCTAGTAAACTCAGACATCAGTGGGCAGCCATAACACTGTTTCAGTAATTCCTGAGTGAAGGTTTTAGGCATAGAAGCTTTTTTATGGACCTGCAAGAGAAGAAAATTGTATTGATTATGATATTTCACACTTTATAAAGCTTAGTTTTTATTCAAGGCAATTACAAGCAAATGTTTGCCTAACAGAAATGGAGCCATTAAAGAAGTATTACTGAATTGACATTAAACCAATGGCCAAAAAATAAAATTAAATAAATAAATACATAAATAAATAAATAAATAAAAATAAAATTAAATAAAAAAATCCACTTAACCTAATATATTTTTTTAAATGAACCTGTGATGCTATCATTGCTAACAAACACTAAAACTCAATAGTCACTCAAATAGCCCAAACCTTTTCTGTAAATATACATCACCAAAAAGCAAAAACTGGACTTCAGGCATGTCTCACCTGATTGACTAGAATAAGAGGGAAGTTGTGTAAATTAGATTTTTTGCCAAACTATTTCTTTAATGACAAGTGCTATTTTATCATATTCTGAACCCAGATTTAGCACCCTTGATAAAAGTGTTTCCAACAACCAACCAACAAACCAATACTGGTGCCATTTTCACTGTTTTAATGTTTAAATATGGACAAATCATTTCTAGTAATGTATAATCCTGACTAATGTTGCCTGGACTGTTTGTCAGAGCTTCACAGAAAATATCATAATATGTAACTTGTAGTTTATATTATTAGCATAGTAGATTTGTCATAACTTTGTGATTTACTGCATAAGATATACATTACATCTCCATATTGTTTAAACATCTTACTTACGTTTTTAGGCTTAATCACAAACAAGATTAAATAGTCTAAGTTAACTTAAACCTGGGCTCCTTAAAACCCTTAAACACCTTTTCCTTACTGCAAAACACGCAGCTGTAAAGTACACAAAAGCTACTGCACGAGTTCTAAAATCAAATAATCAGCTCAGTCAGTGCCGCCCTCAGTGGGAATCATACTGCAGCCCTAAAAGCTATTTTTTTGGTTTGTGCAACCAACATCACACTTGTGGCACTGAACTGTGATGACCTGTTAGAGCTGATCTTACCTTTGTCTTCAGTTCTACTTCAGTTCTGAGTAGACAGTATCAGCGTCCTCACTGCTCTTCCCTAACAGTAAGCAATGACACTGAATTAGCATCAACCAGGAACAAGACAGTATTCTTTTAAGCAACAGCTGCTGCAATGCCTGTTTTGCCTTACACAAGCTGAGAGTATTCGATCTATTAAAACACAGACTGTCATTCTATATGACATAATTCATAAACCAACACATTCAGACCTTTTCTATTAAACTTACCTTTACCCTGTTTTTTCTTTGGCTTCTTGTCTTTCAGATCAATTTCAGCATAAGTCACATCACTGGGTTCAGCTTCTGAGTCTAAAAGAAAACAAAAACTATTTTCTTTACACCATTTCCTTCTGCTTTTGCAATCCTTTTCTGAAAATCTAATCTTCAACCAATCACATACTATAGAATTACTTATACAATAGAATATAGAATAGTAAACATACTGCCCTAATGTACTAGAGACTGAACAAAAGATGGGCACCATAGACGTCTATATTGTCAAAGCTCAATGGAAAATGTATCCTTATATGATGAGTAACACCAACATAATAAGGAACAAATATTCTGTGGCAGAGTGAGAAGTAGCTTTCATTATGTATTGTAGCAAACTCTCATACTGGCTTGTGTATTGTGTAATGAATATTAATATAGATACAGTGCTAAACACTGCTGCAGTCCTTAAAGGGCCCAGATCCTAGAAAACTGAGATATTAAAAAAAAAAAAAGTTTGATGTTTTTACACTGTTGGAAAATGAAACTGGCACCATAGTGTTCACCCAGTCCATATGTGGAAACTAAGCTGCAAAAATGGCCTATTTTGAATTACTTAATTCTGTGATGCCATAGAACTCAAGGCATTTTCATGTCTACACCTGGTCAACATACAGCAGGTTAGCTCCACCCATTCATGTTGAAAAAGAAATGCTTCAATCTGCTTTTTGAATTAGGCACAATACAGTGCAATCAATCCGGCCAGAGCTCATTTACAAAGGGAAAAGTTGGAAAGTGTAAAAATGAATGATAAAAGTTTTTGGTACATAAAACCACACAAATTTTAGCAGAGGCCTTCAGGGGAAAAATATAATACAAGAAAAATGTAGGATATGGGCCCTTTAAGAAGAATAGGCCTCATTCACCAGCCATTCTTAAAAAATTGCTTCCTAAAACTTACACAGTTTTCACGACGATTCTGACATTCACCAGTGTTTCTTATTTGGGGTTTGTTCTTAGGTAAAACAGAATCTACACACACTCATGAGCACAAAGGTGTGAACAAATCTACAGTTTAAAAACACGTCATGAATCTGATGAGACTTTTTCTTAGGACCGTTCTCAAGAACAAACTTATGAATATAGAAAAAACTTATGAATATATTGGTGAATGAGGCCCAATATTTGTTGTTTTCAATCGGTACTCCACTTAGCTCACAGACTTTGTCATGAAGCTACGACTATGCAGGTTAAGTGCAAATGTTCACTTTAAATTGAGGACATTTATGACTATGCTGAGTGAACAATATAGGAATCGCACAGAGGAATCAGACAAATTCTCAAAAACTTAAATAAAATCATTACACATATGACCCCAAAGAGGCAGTGATCACATCTGTGACCATAAATGGCAGTGAACTGCCCTCAAGATTATCAAGATTATCAAGATTATACCTCAAGGTATCTTTCCTGTTCTTGCAGGCTTACAGTAAATCACCATTTTCAAGAATAATGTGTCATTATTTAGATTCCCACAGAGTACATTGTATTTCTAAAACTGAACAATGAGACATTTGAGTTAATAAATAAATAAATACATACATACATACACACATACATACATACATTTAGAGGCACCTTTGACTTTGGGCTTCTTGCTTTTCTCCTGAATCTGTGAGTAAACAGTATCACTTGGCCCAGGCATGACATCATCTATATTAAAATATATATATATATATATATATATTTATTAACAGACAAACAAACAAAAACAGGTTAATTCTAAATAATAGTAGATGTTCCCACATTCAGTGTTAGGTGTTCTTTTAAAATAGTATACTAACAGGAGGCATGGGTACCTGATTTTGAGTGAAAGCAATTTTTTGTTATCTGATGTTAAAATGTGTTGACTATCAAACATTAGCAAGCTAAAGTCATTGAACGTCTGTGTTTTAAATGATACAGGGATGTAATGATGAAGACCAGTGCTACATGGATTGTTTTTAACATTGTGGAAGTTCTGTTGTAAATAATACATTATTTCAACATAATCAGTAATAATCTAAAAAAAAAATAGCCATTATTTTGACAAAATCAGTCAAAATCTCAAGAAAATAAGCTAATATTTATAATATGCTAAAATTATACAAACTACCAGAAACAGAGAGGAAGAAACAGGTGATATCTTTCTCTTCTACCTGGAGGGAATGGGATTCCTAATTAATCTACTCTTCTGTGTTGTTTTCAAGTGACAGGTTTGTTTTATGTCAGGCTGATAACTCATGCTCACACAGTTATTTCACTCAGAAGTCAAAGTGTCTTTTGAATTAGAGGTCTGCATTTCCGCGGGGCCCACAATGTCTTGCTGCGCAGGGCTAATTTTCACTGTGATCCGCAGGAGCGGGAGGTTAACCTTCCCAATGTGGGTGGGTACAGGACAACACATACATATAGAGAAATCCCACAAATTAAAGAGTCCAGCTCAAATGATAAGATGATCATGTATTAATTAGCATAAATAAATAATATCTAACAGCAAAATAACAAAAGTTAATAAACCTATTCTAAATAGCTGTTAAGCAACCAGTCATGTGAACATATGGATACAGCTGTATAAAGTGCTCTTAAGAAAGGTGAATACACAACAATAAAGTGGACTATAAGCCAAGTCTAACATGTAGCAGTCTTTTTCAGTCTTGACTTACGCAGATGGAGGCCAGCAGCATGAAACTATGAGTGGAAGCAGGTGGGAGTGGGACAAAATGTTTAGGCTGAGCATGTGAGCAAGACAAACAGCGCCAATTTGCTGTGGGATGAAATCTTGCATAAGTGGGACAAAGAAATTGGTCCCGTGCAGACCTCTTGTAAAAAGGTGCAGAAGCACATATGTATGTTTGCTCCATCTCTAATAAAAGTGGGGGTGCACATGCTCCACTTGCTCCATTGCTCAGCTGCATATGTTAGCAGGGTCATGCAAGGACATTTTTTGGGCCATGGGCTCAAGAGAAAAAAAGGCAACATGAAATATATTAATTGCACTTAGTTTAGAGCAGAGTGCAACCACTCAAATATAAAAGGAAGTATTAGTGTGTCACCATATTTCAGAGAAAATTATATGTAGTTTTACTAGCAATTTAGGGATCTGGACACTGTAATGCTACTCACTATGCTAACTGGTATAAACACTGCAGTTGCAGCTCTAATTAAGTGCTCCTCAGAGCCTGGCATAATCACTGTTATTTTCAAACAAAAAAATTGCTTTAGTAAGCGGTTTGTTTGGTTGTTGTTCAAAATAATTACTTTATGCAATGAGACACTTTCTTAAATTAAAATTAAACAGGTGCTGTGTTGATGTGTGCACCCATAACAGGTCAGAATTACTGAGGCAAAATCATCACAGGCAGCTTGTACTGCACCAGAGGGGGCAAATAAAGAGCACCTCACTGAAACAAATGCTGAAGAATGGCTGAGATCTTATAAAATATACCCTAATTTTTATGCCTGTTGACCAAAAGGACACTTTTACAGTGTGAGGGCAAAAGGGGCAGGAGCTCAAACTCCCCCTGGGGTCTATCTGTGTGCATGCCTGTGTAGTAGGTAGTGCTTACCTTCACTGTGGCTTTTCAAGTGTTTCATCTCAATTTGGGAAGATGTCACATCATTTGGTGTCACTGCAACATCTAATACAGAAATCAGTTTAGACACTGAAAGCGATTAAACAAAAGCCAATTTCCATCGTTGCAGAAACAAAATTCTTACCTTTTCTCTTTGGTTTCTTTTTAGTAGACAAAACTTGTGCATAAGTGGCATCACTGGAGTCAGTCGCAGAATTATCTACAACAGAAGAGTCTATTTAGAGAGGCCACTGTGTTCTTTCATTATTAAAGATATCCAATTAAAAAAGTATTCAAAATATTGAAATGAGCACATTTTTCATTATTGCAAAAACAGAATTTTTACCATTTGTTTTCAGTTTCTTTTTAGTAGACATAACTTGTACATAAGTGGCATCACTGGAGCCAGCTGCAGAACCATCTACAACAGAAGTCTTTGTTTAGAGAGGCCACTGTGTTCATTCATTATCAGAGATGTTCCATATTAAACCAAAAAAAAAGCATTAAAAATATTATATTATTTATACAACAGTTAGGTCTGGCCACGCAACCTGATTGGTTGGGAAGTGGGTAACGCTTCCTTTTACAGTCCCCTAAGTTCTAGGTATTAACCAGGTAAGTGTGGGGTACAAACTCCAAAGTACTTGGTAATTATTTTAGGTGACAAGATGGTAAGTAGCAGAATAGTCTAAATTAATTATACTGAAATGTCTCACAGGTTCTAGGTATTACCCAGGTAAGTGTGAGGTACAAACTACAAAGAACTAGGTAAATATTTTAGGTGAGAAAATATTGAGTACCAGGACAGTCTAAAAGAATTACTATGAAACGTCTCACAGGTTCTAGATCAGGCCTGTGGGCCTTGTGTTTGACACATGGGTACTAGATTGTGAATATTAGAGGGAATTTATTTATGTGTTATAATGTATTTACCTGTAACTTTAAAAGAATAAACAGAATGTAAGTCGGAGCTCAGCTCACTCTAATCTGTAGAGTCTTAAATAGTATGTATCTATTACCTAGATACTAAACTGAATCTGAACTGTAAAAGAAAGCAGGGACTCTTTCTATAGTTTTACTGGGTTCTTACCACAACGTTCAGAAAAATTGCCTCTTGTTATGCAACTGTAAACAGACAAACTGTAAGAGAAAGCAGGATTCATCACAATAGTAATTAAAACCTTTTGACAACTCCGTATTTTGACACAATAATTCCTGTACGTTACAGTGTACAATATTGTACAAGAATGTACAAGAATGTACAAGAATGTCTTAATTCCTACACCTTGCTGTTTAGTTCTTTTCACATCATTTCATAATAATTTATTTAGACTATCCTGGTACTTACCATCTTATTACCTAAAATAATTGCCTAGTACTTTGGAGTTTCTACCTCACACTTACCTGGGTAATACCTAGAACCTGTGACACATTTCCTAGTAATTCTTTTAGACTATCCTGGTACTTAACATCTTATTACTTAAAATAATTACCCAGTACTTTGGAATTTATACCTTACCCTTAGCTGGGTAATACCTAGAACCTGTGAGACATTTCAGTATAATTAATTTAGACTATTCTGCTACTTACCATCTTGTCACCTAAAATAATTACCAAGTACTTTGGAGTTTGTACCCCACACTTACCTGGTTAATACCTAGAACTTATGGGACTGTAAAAGAAAGCGTTACCGGGAAATGTTATAACAGTGCTGTTATTTCGCCATAACATCACAGGTTTTTCCCAAACATTTGTTAAATATTATTTTATTTTATTTTACTTTATTTGTTCCTTATTAACTTTGTAACTTCTCTTAAACCTTTTCTCTGTTTTTTCCCTTGCCTTTTTGTATTCATCTCGTTTGCATTTTGTATGTCTCACATCTGGTTATCTATAGGTGGACTATGGGTGGACCTCAACACCTCTATTTTAATTACAAAGGTAGAGGCAGTTGTCCATCCCGTGGGGGGTGCCCTGGTCGTTGAGACAAAGAGACAACTGAGGGTGTGGTTTACATTTCGTGACTATAAGTTCATCAGTGTGTAAGCTTCATGAGACTTGTTTGGGTTGAGAAGACGTGCGTTCATTAAACTTCATTTTCCCCAAGTCTCCACTCCTGTTCTTCTTCAAGAAACCAAAGATTGCCAGCAGAAGTCAACACATTGTATCATTCATCACCACTGAGCAGCTTTTCAGTCGGCAGCTGTGACGGAAGAACACATATACAAGCTGGAATTAGCCAGAAATGAACTGAATACCATTCACCAATCGTGTAGTCTCATTTTCAGAGTCTGATCAAATCAGACTGAGCCATAAAACTACCACAATAAAAAGCAAAAAAGCTGCTCAGTGGTGATGACAGTTTCGGAATTTAGTGTTAGGAGCTGGAGAACGAACTGCCGGCTGTGCAGCGAGTGAGCAGAGCTCGTTACTGTGATGTAGCAACGAGCTGCTTGTTAAGGAACTATAATTTGGTGGAAGGAACTGCGAAGATTAAAACATTAAAGGACATGTTCACGGCCCAATTTACTTCAGCCTTCAGCTTGTGCCTGCATCCACATCACAGCCATGATTTTATTTCGTGAAAACACACTCCCTCTGGTGTTCTGTTGCTTAAATATTTTATATGTGATTAAAGATATCCAAAAAAATTAAAATGAGCCCATATTTCCATTATTGCAGAAGCACAATTCTTACCTTTTCTCTTTGGTTTCTTTTTAGTAGACATAACCTGTGCATAAGTGGTATCATTGGAACCAGCTGCAGAATCATCTAGAACATAAGTCTCTGTTTAGAAAGGCTACTGTGTTCTTTCATTATCAACGATGTTCAATATTAAAACAAAAGGGTATTCGAAACACTGAAATGAGAATGGAATTCCATTATTACAGAAACAGAATTCTTACCATTTGTTTTCAGTTTCTTTATAGTAGACATAACATGTGCATAAGTGGTATCACTGGAGCCAGCGGCAAAATAATCTAGAACAGAAGTCTCTGTTTAGAGAGGCCACTGTGTTCTTTCATTATCAAAGATATTCCATATGAAAACAAAAAAGTATTTAAAATACTGAAATGAGCTGTACCTGTGGTTGTGTTGGC